AAATAGTATTCATAGTTTAGAATTTTTACTATGAAAAATATTATATTGGGTATCGATTATTAGAATTTTGTAAAAATCAATTATTCGTACGTCTAGGAATTGGATATCGAAGTACTAAAACGCTGTCTGCTGATATAATTGGTAATACATTGTCGCAATGATGATTTACTAAATGACTTACACTATCGAAAACGCGATCTTTTGTGCGAACCTAAAATTGAAATATATCATAAATATTTCTGTTTTCAATATGAATAAAAAAATGTTTTGAATTATCATTTTTTGGAATACTTACTACGCCTTCTGGATCAATTAATAATAAATGTTTTGGTGTACCATTATTCATACCAGTAAGGACATATTGTCCAGGTGAACCCTGAGATTCTCGGACCAAAAAGTCGCCATCCTGTTAAATATATTAAATTGAAATATAAATTATAACTAAATTGATCTCGTTACTTACCCTTGTTAGCATTGATTCTGCTTCAGCGCGACTAACACTACCATGGAACCATACTTCCTGCTTTAATTGTTGTTTTTGAGAATGTGGACTTAATCTATTCAGATCTGATATTGCGGAACTAAATGGTTCTAAAAATGATAATTTATTACATCAAAAGTTTGTAGTTTATATTATACTTATGAAAACATTCTATCTTTAATTACTTACGCATATCAAATACATCAAAAAGTGATGTTTGATCACGATGGCTTTCTCTAGTAGCTGCTATAACGCTATCGTTTACATAATTATGTTCGGGAGGCATATTAAAATTTGTTGATGTACCATCAGAGTTCAAGTCAATTAAGTTACCAGTCTCTACATTATTAAAATACTCATTTATTAGTAATTCATTTATAAAATTCATTAATAAAATACAGAAGAAAAACATTACCTGCCCATTGCTGATGATATCTATCAGAATTGGAGGAAAATGTGTCATGTAAACCAGAGTTTTGTGCATTGTTTCGTGACACATGATTTTGCCCAGAATGATGATGTTTTAAATTGGGTAGTGTTGATGCTGTAGTCGGTAAAGGTGGAACTGGTGGAGGTCCAATATCTGGTGGTACCTTGCCTGGCAGGTCATTATAATAATCTCTATCTGCTTCTCGTATACCATTTAACATGGGGCTATATTATAAAAAGAAAATATTAAATAAAGTATAAAGATGAAGTTTGATAAGCAAAGTTTGGTGATAGAGTAATTACTGCAATGAAGCTGGTTTTGTAAGAAATTCCTTAAATCTTAATTCAAAAGCTTGTCCAATAGTAGATATAACATCTTGTGCCAAGCCTCCCCCACATTCTAATACATAACAAGCACGCCATTCTTGCATGTTTTTAGCAACATATGCAACAAAATCTAGTATTTCCTATAAAATGATAAAATAATTATTTTATGCTTTACAATTACAATATATATAAAATAATAATAAAGACCAATGCTTTGTAAAATATAAATTTACCGTATCTCCACCTGAAGCAAAGGATATACGTGGCATTTCATGTTTGGCAATAATATGTCCAGTATCAGTATTAGTTAAGGCTAAGCTACAACTACTAATAGTCAGATTTATTGTGGCACCCGTATGTTCCATGCGAGGCTTATCTGCTATTGCCCTTAAAACTTTCCTATCCACCTTTATACATAAACTATTATAAGTCTCAGGTTGCAGTTATGAGAGGAAAATAAAAAGTCAAATAAATACCCTTCTTTTTTTATCTGCAGATTTTAAACCAGCTGCTTCACAAACTCTGTTTATACATTCTCTAAAAACAACTTTTTCTTTAAGATGTGAAGAATAATTTTATAATAATTCTTTACATTTAAAATAAATTGTACAAACATGTTCTAAAAATATTTTAGAAAACTTACTTGGCAACACATGATCTTGTTTCAAAATCTAAGCTTTTCATAGATGTGTATACTTCAAGACATCCTATATACTGAAAACCATACAATGAAATAATTAAATATTGCTATTACTGTTACATTAATTTATGATATTTATGACACAATATAATGTCATATTCTATTACAGGGAAAATGAAAACTTACTTTAACTGTATAAGTAATTCCTTCTTTACTCACTAAGTGATCAGGGTGTAACCATCCTCTAGCAGGTTTGCTTATAAAACTACTACCTCCAGTTGCCATTTTTAAATTCTATGCACATATGTATAACTACAAAATACGCATTTTTTAATCTTCTTAATTTTTTTACAATAATTAAATATTGAAACAATTATTTCAAACATTTTGTAAAGGAGTATACATCCATGTTTATTATCTCTATTCAAACTTGAAACTGAAGCTGATATATTTTTTTCAATTAACTTAAACTATCTCAAATTATTTTTTACATTAGTATTCTATGACATCTCATAATTATAGTTTCAATAACTCGATTGTAATTATTATATAATACAGATAATATTATGCGACTATGAATTTCAATTTAAACATACTTATGACAATGACAAATAAATGCAAATAACTAATATATCTTGTCAACTGAGAAAAAGAAATCCTTAATTACTGCACATATGATTTACCAGGAAATGAGATCATACCTCGCAGACGGTTATTAAGATCATATGTCTACAATATGATTATACGCATTAAATCTATTAATCATTTCGCAGGTATCCGTTGATTACCATATAAACTGAAATACTACAATAAATTCGTATCGGTCCACATTTTTTGACACACCGAAGGTACGAGACACATTTACTGTCTTGCAGAATTGCATAAAAGCACAGATGAGGTACAGGATAGACCTAATACCCAATGTATTTTTGTGTCCAACGTTCTGAAATACCGATCGTGTAAAAAATTAGAATTTTTGTTATGCCCTCTATGATATAAAGTAGAGAGTTTAGGAATTACATACAATCCAACCATCAAAAATGGTAAAGTCGACAGACGTAAAAAATCCTTTTTTATTAAATTTGCATATAAAGATATATACATATATTGAATTGCATGGATAGAATTGTTCACTATGTTTTGACAGCAGTGAACACGCGCATGTGATGAATCTCTACTAATAAATAATTATGTTACTTTCTTAGTTGTAATTTCATAGTTACGTTTAATTCCAATTCCAACCACCACTAATGTTGTAATCTTATTCTATGCTGAATCGGTAACGTTGGTAGTGACAAAAAAATGATGAGGGTCTTCTTGGCCCCGAAGCCCCGGACAAAAAGTCTCATAAGATGCTAAATCTATCCTGTACGTCGTCTGTGATAAAAGTTAAATATGAATTACTGATAACTTAACTATGCTTCCTTTATCACCGACTGAACCAATATTTGTTCTCTATTGTTGAACCGTATTCAATATATTATAATTTATAATAAATTAATGTATCATTATAGTGGTGCATATAAAATCGCAAGTTATCAATTCTATATTGTTTATACCAGAAAATAAAAATATGCATATTAAACGTATTTTGTTCAAGCGTATATAATTTTTAACATTGCTCCACTGATAATTTTATGTTTTACAAAAATAGTGTTAAATATTTCTGTAAAAGAAGGAATAAAAATGTCTGTTCTGCACATAAAAATTTTAAATATATTTTTTAGTGATTAGTTCTGTAAAAAAGTTCTAGTAATTTTTAAATTATATCACCAAGTGACATTTACTTATGGTTTATTGTACTAGGTGTAAGTAGTTGTCCGAAACTTTGTTTACTGTTCAGGCTAATTATTATTTGTAACGATTATTGGGATTAAAAAATATTAGTTTAAGGCAGAATGCGTAGTGTTGATTTTATAGTTACGTATTTGAAGATCATACGTTTAAATTCTGAAAATAAGTGATCCGTGTTTAGTAATCGGAGTGTTAATTGTATTTTGAGTAATTTGTAAAATGTGTTAATGTGAGAAAAAACAATATTCTTATATCATGATATGATGAGGCCATGAAAAGAATAAAACTTAAATTAAAGAAACCAAATCCATTGTTTGAGATTTGGTTAGAAGAATGGAGGAAAGAAGCTGCATCCAGAAACTCCGATTTGCAATATCACTTTTCGAAAGCACTTCAATCTCTAAGAAAATATCCTTTGCCGTTAAAGTCCGGAAAAGATTGTATAATATTGCAACATTTTGGTACAAAATTATGCTCGATGTTAGATAGAAAACTTGAAGAATATAAAGCTAGAAATGAAGGCTCAACAAGTGCTAAAGATTTTGTTTGTAAACAGAGTAATTACGAAGAACAGCATGTACTTAAAAGAAAATATAAATCACAACAAATTGTTATGGATGCAGATTTTGAACATGAAAGGGTAAATATATTTATATGCATCCTAGATATAGATATATTTAAATATTTGTACAAATTAATGAAATCAACTGAACAAATGTTTTGTTTCAAGACAGAACTGGCAGCATTTGATAACTTAAATTTATCTTCTTGGAATCTAGAAAATTATGCTGCTTTATTTATACTATATAAGAATACACAAAATCCACATTGTTCAGGTATTTCTTAAAGAATATTTTTTTTATTTATGTATAATTATTTTTATCATTATGTTATTTAATTGCATTTTATTTTGTGTTTTCATTTATTAGGGTATATTACTGAAGTTGATTTACTATCTGAAATAAAAGAGTTGTGTGGTGATGTTTCAAAGACTTCAGTTTTAGATTTATTTCAGTGTGGCTTAATTTCTATGATAGGTGCTCCTAATAGGTAAGAAAGTCACATTATTGATAATAGATTGCAAAATTGTACATAAATACAATTATATAATTGTAAAGTAATGTAATTTTTGTAGATATAATCTTACAGAACATGGTGTTAATATTTCAAAAAACATGTGTGAAGTTACAACTATTGATGTAGAATCAATAAATTCTATCAACATTTTAAGTAAGATTCAAGCACTTCTAAAACCATTGTTTATACAAAAGTCAGAGTTAACAAAAGATTTTAAAAATCTTGATAATGGAAACACAAATACACAATTATCTAAAAACTGTTCAAATGGTACGCAAAGCAATTCAACTAAACCTTCAAAAATGTATAAGTCCAAGTCTGAAGGATTCAGTGCTATTAGAAAACATAGGCAACAGCCTGAAAAAGATTCTGTGAGACAGAAGTCAGAGGAAAATAATATGCTTGTAGAAAAAATACCAGGAAGGATAAAAAAAGCACAAAATACAAATAATGGCGCATTAAATAATATAGATAATAATAAAACAGATTCTACAAATAATATTCAGAAGAACATCTATTTAGAATCCAATAAGTTTGATGTAATATTATTAGTAGATACACATGAGACTAGTGGGTATGCTTCATTTTGTTAAATTTTGTTACTACAATTTGTTACCAAATTTTTTAACTTTTTAAACTTTGTTATCTTGGTAGAACAAAACCTCAACATGATGCTACTGTAGTGGAACTAACACAACTTGGTGTTATATTTGAGATACGCCATTTAAAAGTTGGTGATTTTGCATGGGTTGCCAGATGTAGAAATACAAAGAATGAATTGATTTTACCTTACATTATAGAGAGGAAACGAATAGACGATTTGAGTTCAAGTATTACAGATGGGAGGTTTCATGAACAAAAAGTAACACTTTTATTAAATTTTGAATTAGTTATATCTACATATTTATATAATAATATGATTAAATAGAAAATTGTTTCATACAGTTCAGATTGAAGCAATGTGGGATTACAAATCTTATGTATATAATTGAGGAATACGAGAAAGGTCAAAAATTAGCAATACCATATTCATCATTGATGCAAGCTTCCATTAATACTTTAATACAAGATGGTTTTTCAGTAAAGTACACCAAAAGCCATAAAGATTCTATGTTTTATTTGTCATCATTAACAAGAGTTTTGATTAGGCGTTTTCGAGTATGTAATTCTTTAACGCATTTATAATTCTTATTAAATTCAGTTAATTTAGTTTTACTTGTATTTTGTAACAAAAAATTACATTTTTTAGGAAAAAAATTTGATATGTTGCAAAAAGGAAGCTATTGCACAAATAAATATTTTAAGTGATACTTGTTTTCTTATGGAATTTGAAGAATTTAATAAAGCAGCATCCAAACAAAAAGTATGTACAGCATTTATGTATGTGATAGACATTGAATTAATATTGATATTATTATATTTTTTTAGGTATTTAAAGTAAGTCAAATGTTTGTCCGCCAATTATTACAGTTAAAAGGAATATCTGTAGACAAAGCTTTAGCAATTGTAGAACGTTATCCAACACCACGAGTATTAATTGAAGCTTTTCAAAACTCTGATTGTAATGAATCATTATTAGCAAAAATTGAATTTGGAGATAAGAAACGTCTTATCGGACCTATAATTAGTAAAACAATTTATCAATTATACACAAAAAAAAATTTAGATTAATGAGTTACATTTTTGTATAAATAAAAGCAATATTAAAATTGACTAAACATTTTGTGGTACCTTTATTCTTTTTGATATTGCTTTATATATTTCTGTATTGTTATCACTGCTCTTTTAACAACGTATTAGAATAAAATGATTTAAACATACTTGTATGCTTTTGACAATTGTACTGTTGGATGCAAGAAGGGCCTCAGGATGCTCAGGCCCTTTTTGAGTACAATGCTTAATTAGATTCTATATTCTTTTTGTAAGAATGTGTATGATTCAGGCTGCTCGAGTGTGTATGCGTGTGTGTGCCTGCTAGGCGTGGTGGGGTGAGCAACGGCTTTTTCTGCGTCGTCGCCCTTTTTCCCGCTTTCCTACAGACACGATTGAACAACAGTATCGTGAAATCTATGGAAGAATTAACAATGTTACTCTCGTTTCAGAGCGAATTATTCTCT